CGCACCGCGACATGCCTACTATGTTGATTTATAAAATGTGATGGAACGACAGAAGTTATTCTATAGATCTCATCACAACGAAAAGCCGCTACGATTCAGAATAATTGTTTAGAGCGTGGCGCATCCCAAAATAGATAGATTAAGGCCAAATAACTTATGCTTGTCCCACTTAATGAACTTTTCCCAAGGCTCGAAATAGAACATTCCTGCGGGAATTCTGTTGTGAATGAGTTTTAACTAAAACCTCTTGGGGCCTGTTCCTGATCTTATCGGGACAGCTTTTCGCAAGTGAAGAGATCACAAGCGCTTCCTCAATGTCGCGTAATGTTTTTAAAAAATTTGATAGATCTAGTTCTCTGGCAAGTCTGATCATATCCAGTCCAAATGAGGAGGAAAGCTTGAGGAAAAAGTGCCAATTGAGGGAAAACGTTGATCGGTGCTTTTGCGATGAGCATGCCATCAAAAAGATGAAATACTAACCATAAAATGGCCTCTCAGATTTCTACAGGCTAATTGAGGAACTACTGGTTTTTTGACAGAAAAAAAACATGGAACTAAAATGAACTTTTGATTTTCAAGTGTTCCGCGAAGATTACAAAATTATTTTTGCACTCCATGTGCTGAAATGCACTGCAGAAGACGAGCGAATTTCAGCGAGGACTGCTTAAAGTGGATTCACTACCGATGAACGTTCCCTTGGTTCAGACGGAAAGCTCTTTAGCCCTCCAATATCATCGTTGCAATACTGACAGTCTTGTAGAAAGATGGCTTTTGGCTGAAAATGTCCCTCCCGGTCAAACATGAAATCGTTCTCACCGAGCGCCACATAAAAATACAACTTCCAGCTAACCAAATAGGGTATGCAACTGCATACTAGCATTTCCGCAGGTCATGGACCCGTATGATTCTAGACCCCATCGCCTGATGCCGGTAGGTAGAGTCATCCACTTGCATTTCCAACAAGGTCAACCGTGCGGCGCACACTTCTCAATGGGCACAGGTCGTATTTGGGTTCTTTTCAAAGGGGTCGTATCGGAAGTTGATGAAGGTCGAAAGCTCGAAAAAGAAGGGAGTCGTGTTTTCGGAAAATGGATGGGTTGTGGGGGCAGGAGAGGGGGTCGCCTTGGCTATTCTTTCTCGAATAACTTTGGTGGAAATTCGAAAAAGTAAGCATGTAGTGGTCGAAATAGAAGGATT